TGTATGTCAACTATAATTATATATACATATAGTCACGGGACATGGAGTAGAGAGTGGGAATGGAGTCAATGGAATTGTAATAGATAAGCATGATATCGGGGGTGGGAGGGCAGTAGATGGGGAGGGGGATTTCTGTGCGAAGGGTGAAAAGGATAACTATTGCATTGTTCTGTACACCTGAAACTAACAATAAATAAATAAATAAATAAATAAAAATTAAAAATAAAAGTGAAACTGAATTCTGAGGAAAAGGCTGTGCCTGGCAGCAATAACCTTTCCTGTCAGAAGCCATTCTGAATTGTTCTGGAGCTGATAGATGAGCAAACTGTGGATTCCCCCCATCTCTCCCCCTTCCCCCGCCCCCTCCTCCTCAACACAACACACATACACCTTGCTACCTCTATATATTCAGGGTGTTCTGAATGTTTAGAGATCCTTTTGGATATGTAATAATAATCATAGTAGAAAAAATAACATTTACTAAGAACTTGTGTGATGCCTAGCTCTGAGCTGAGCACTGCAAATATTTCATGTTCTGTGTGCTGCTTTCAAGAAAGAATGGGATGCTGGGAAGGAAAGTCCTAACAAGTTATCTGGTTAGCTAGCAATGGACTAAGAAAGGGTTTATGTGTCTAGCTATTCCAAGTACTAAAAAGTTGTGTACTCTGACATCAGGGCTGAGTATAGCTCAACCTTGTGGGAATACATCTAAATAGTTGCAGTTTAAAGCCTTCAAAAGTGGTAAAGTGAGAATAGATTTATACAGAGATCAGTTAAAAATTCTAACCAACACCTGATGGAAAATTCATTCATTCAATCGTTCAAGATGTACATACCAAGCACCTATTATGTGCCCAGCACTATTCTAGGCCTAGAGATATAGCAATGAACAAATTCTTGATGCTCACAGAGCTTACATTTGAGGAGGATTCATAGAAGCACACTGAAAAAAATATATGATGCAAGATAGTGATAAGTTCTAAGTCATAAATAAACCTGTGAGGGGATAGTGACAAGGATGCTCTTTTAGATCAGGTAACCTCTGAGGTGGTGATGTTTGAACAAGACCTGTTCGTTTACATGAAGAAGAATGCCTTATGGTTCTGTAGCAGAAGGAGTAGCCAGCAGAGGCCACAGCAAGTGCAAAGGCCCTGAGGCAGGATGGTATTTGGCCTCTAAGTAGGAGTACAGCGATCAAGGGAATGACTTGTAGGAGAGGAAATGGGAGAGGGACCCAGAGGTCAGATCATGCAGGTCAATAGCAATCATTCCAGTCTTTGAGCCCCTCCTATGCTTGGGTCATTACATTTTAATCATCATAAAACCCCCTGAAGTAGGTTTAATTACTCCCTTTTAATGTTGCCTGAAACCACCCCCACTGAATGGCAGAAGTCTTTTGGGATTCTAGAGCATCCAAGTTCACCATGGGTGGTGGTCTCTCCCAGCTTGCTGCTGACCAGCACGCTCTCTCTCTTTCCATCAATCAGAACATATTCTTAGAACAGAGACATCTACTTTAAAATGCAATAAGATATTTATTTAACAGCTTCATTATTTTAAAATACTTGCCTTAACATTTCCTCATACTTGGACAAGATCTGATACCAAATGTGTTGTTTTCTGTGCCTCGGTTTTAACATGCATCCTATGTTTGTCTTCTTTCTTTCAAAAAGTAGTAAAAATACATTAGATCACAAGTGTACTAACAGGAAAAAAATAAGTAGAAATTTAGTAGTAGATCAATAGTCCATGATCTCTGGATTCCATTTTACAAAAGAGAGCTGTCTGTCCCTGTTTAGTCCATAACACTGAGTCTAACTTTCGTTAAAAATGCAGATATGAAGCTAGTTACTGGAGAGTTCTGGGATCGTTTCACAAATGAAATGAAGTCACAAATATTTCTAAAGATATTTTATAATAAAAATAGAATTAAAAGACTGAAAAATATTCAACAGAAACTCTCTAGTCTGTATTTAGATGGAAAACAATATAAATTGAACTTAATTTTCTACACTTAATTACTTAATTATTGGAAATTTATTTTCTAAATCTGGCGCTGCCACCTCAGTCCCTTCTCATTAGAAACCTACTGCTTGGTTAACTGTAATAATTTATTATTTATTATTTTATTGCCAGCTATTGTAACCTAGAGCTAATCTGATAGTATTAATGTCCCAGGATATGTAGGAACGTTTTCTGCTCCCTACTAATTAGATTAGTTGCTAGGGCTGTCGTAACAAGGTACCACAGACTGGGTGGAATAAACAACAGAAATGATTGTCTCATAGTTACGGAGGCTGGAAGTCGGAGATGAAGATGTTGGCCAGGTTGATTCCATCTGAGGGCAAAGACAGAGAACCTGCTCCATGCCTCTCTCCTAGCTTCTAGTGGTTTGCTGGCAATCTTCAGCATCCCTTTACTTATAGATGCATTATCCCAATCTCTGCCTTCATCTTGGTGTTCTCCCTGTGTCTATCTCTATGTCTAAATTTCCCCTTTTTATAAGAACACAGCCATATTGGGTTCAGACCCACCCTGACAACCACATCTTAACTTGGTCGCCTGCAAAGACCCTATTTGCAAAAAGAGCTACATACACAGACTCTAGGGGTTAGGACTTCAACATCTTCAGGGGTTGGGGTTACGCCTAAGGAAAAGAGGATTCTTATAGTAAACAGTCTCTTCTTTATGTAGGCATTGATTGTATTGTCAGCCTGAGTCCTCCTTCCTGTGTGTGTGGCTGGGAGGGGGTTGTTTGATTTCTGGCTAGTGCATCCTGACAATCTCTTTGCTAACAGAGCAAACTTGGAGTTTAACTATGCCAAAGGACTTCAGAAACTGGCAATCAAGCTGACCAAAGCACTACAGAGCACAAAGAAAAAGTAAGTATATGAAGAGGTAGGCAAAATAATTCTTAAAAATAATAAAAACTGATGTGTTCAATTCCAGCTTCCTCTTACAAATGTATCAGGCATATAATGTCAAATATGACTTCCTGTCCTTGGGCACTTAGTGCGTGCCACACATTGTGTTAAATGCTTTTATATTGGGTTGTCGGAAAAGTCATGACGCATTTTTGCAATGAAAAGCATAGAAAAAATATGTCATGACCTTTCCGACAGCCCAATAGATGCTCTGATTTAACCTTCACAACCCTTGAGAAGTCTTATTAATGTCCTTTTTACAGACAAAGTCTTGAGGCTTGGAGAGTCTAAGACACTTGCCACAATCACATAGATAATGAGTTGTAGATCTGGATTCATTCCATGTCTTTATGCCTCCTGAGCCCATGTTCATAATAGGCCTCAGTGGTGATAGTTCACTTGGGAAGCAGTGTTGTTAAGTTGGAAGGTCTTGGAGTCAAGAAATGGGAATCCTGCTTTATCTCAACTCTATGACCTTCAACAAGTAAACCAGGGGTGACTGGTTAGCTCAGCTGGTTAGAGCGTGGTGCTAATAACACCAAGATTACTGGTTAATACCCCCATGAGACACTGTGAACTGTGCCCTCCTTAAAAGAGTCAACTATGCCATTGTAGTTGTAGCATGAAAGCAATGTGTAACCAATGACAATGGCTGTTCCCCAATAAAATTGAAAACAACACACACACACACACACACACACACACACACACACACACACACACAAGTAACCCAGCCTCTCTGTGCCTTGATTTCCTCCACTGTTAGATGAAGGAATGATTTGAGCTCCATTGTGTGTACGCCTGTGTGTGTGTGCGGAGAGGAGAGGTGTATATTAAATGAGAAAATGTATGTAAAGAGATTAGCATACTGGGTGCTAAAAAAATGTTGGTTCACACTTTTCTCAGTACATTTCAGAATAAAGTTAATTCCTTCTTTGAGGGGGAGGGAAGAAAGCTATTGGTATAAAAATGATCCATTGGTCAGAATTTATTATAAAGATTCTGGACTAATGCTTGCGTATGTCACCCTAAACTGACAGTGTGTTGCAAAGGCCTCTTTTGGTGGTGAAAGAGAGAGGAACAGAAGAAAGGAAGCCTTCCTCCTTAGGCTATTCCCTTTAGGCTCCATTTATAACAGCAAATATTGACTATGAAATTGCTCTGACTTTTAGCTTGATTTTTAGGATACTATTTTAGTATACTACAAAGGAACCAGTAGATCACAATGGCTGAGTATAGACTTTATTTAGAATGCCCAGGGTTTGAATTCTAGCTCTACCACTTGCCAGGTAGGTGAATTAGGACAATTTATCTTACCTCTCAGTGTCTACTTAAAATGGAAATAAAACCTACCTCATAAAATTGCTGTGAGGATTAAATGAGATAATACAAGAAGGGTGTTTATTATCTGGGACAGAGCCAAAGCCCCATAAGTGTCGATTACAATTTTGATTATAATTGCCTCCTAAATAATGAGAGATGTAGGGGTGTGTCTTATTCTGTTGCAACCCTGGTGTCCAGCATGGTGCTCCCAGAGAGTTGGCACGTCCAGAATGTTTATTTAACCGAGATTAGCGCAATATTTAATAATAAATACTAAGTGAAATTTTACCTATACCAAAATCTGTGTTAGGTACTTAAATAATCCAAATTATTTCTATTTTAAAAGACTAATTAAGTGAGAGTCAGAGACATCAAATGATTCTTTCATGGTCACACATGGAAACGAAGGCAAGCATGTGGATTCAGACAGACCTCTCTGATGACAGTGCCCTTAGCTTCCTGCTCTAAAATCCAGATCCTCTGAGGGGGAAATGTCAGGTTCTCTTCCCAAAAGTGTGCCTGGCTTCACATTATTTAAAATTATTTAAATTATTAAAAATTAACTCAATTGAGTTTTAATTTTCATGCAATAATATGCACCTCCTTTAAGCACATGGTTTGATTGATTTTTGACATATGTATACACCATGTAGCCACTACCAAAATCTACACAGAGACATTTCATCACACAAGATTCCTTATGTCTGTTTGTAATCCTTCCTCCACCCAGTCACAAGCAACCACTGATCTGCTTCCTGTCAATATATAGACTCATTTGTCTCTTCTGGAATTTTCTAGAATTGGAAGCATGGTTTTTGTGCCTGGCTTTGAATATGCAGAAACCTTGGCATCTTTTGGTCTAGTTCTGTTCTCTGGCAGCGGGGTGTACCCTATGTCATTTGAAGGCAAAACCTCTGCACCATCCTGATTTCAGTAGGTACACCAATCTGCCTGTGCCCCCTTCCATCAAAGTCTACACAGGCCTCTGTCCTTCAGGTTGTTGATGCAATTAGGCTTATTGTTTTGACTTTTGAAGGCTGCTGTGAGCTATGCCCCTTCTGTGGGGAAAAAAAAAATGGCATCATACTTCCTAATCCTCTCTCTGTGCTGCTAGGGACAAGGCAGTGTCATCCTTTTGTTAAATTGAGACCATGAAATATCTGAACTGTTGTCACCAGGGAACAGGAGCCAGACCCCAACCCCAAGAGCAGCATGCAGGATGCGACCGGGGCTCTCAAATCCTGTCATTTCACCTCTCTGAGCCTTGGTTTACTATCTGTGAGCTGAGCAGCCTGGAAAGATTGTCCTTAAGGACCTCCTGCCTCTAGCATGCTGTCTCCTGCCTGTTCTAAATGCCTTCTCACCCTTGGCTACTGTGGTTCCCTGATTTTCTACAGACGTAAATTGGAAAATGTAAATCAAAATAAAAACTGACTGAAAATAAAGCCGTTTCTGTAATGACTATAGTGCAAATAACTATGTTGGCAGCATTTAATCCCATGGAGAAATTGAAATAAAATTAGGGATATGAGTGCAACTGCTGAATGGCATGAATCAGAGGTGATATTTTCTTTCCCAGACTTCACTGGGAAAATGACGCACCCTTGTGTCCCTCTTGTTTTTGCCTCCAGCTGTACCGTCAGTGCCTGGGCCTGGGTCTCAGAAGGCATGAAATCTGCAGCAGACCTTCATCAGTGAGTACTCCCACCCCAGCCTTGCTCCAACCCCAAAGGGAGCTGTGTATTTAAAGTGGGTGTGCTACAAATACTCCACTTCAAGCTTGCCCTGAGTAGATATGCCAAAATACACCATTTTCTTTCCCCCCAAAATAATTTGGAAAGTAGACATAAATTTTAATACTATACTTGTGTGTCTCTTATGTTTTATTTCCAGAAAACTTGGCAAAGCAATTGAGTTGGAAGCAATAAAACCAACTGATCAAGTCCTGAGTGTACACGAGAAGAAGAGAAAATCAGTGAGTCAAAATCCTTCTTTTCTCTGCTTGTTTAAACAAGATTTCTGTCTTTGGCCCAAGAAACAAAAGGTGATCTAAAAATTATACTACATTTCAGGAACTTATCATAAAAATAAAAACAAACCCAAAAAGTTATGTACAAAGATGTTTGGTAAAACATTATCGGTAATAGCGAAAGACCGGAAAATTCTTCATCATCCAAAAATAAATTATGATTAAATTCAAGCAATGGAATACTATGCAACCATTAAAAATCTTATTACAGAAAAATTTAATGACATGGGATTTTTTTTTTCACTATATAGTGTTAAATAAAAAAGCAGGATGAAAAAAATCCAACAATATGACCTCGATTTTGTAAAATAAATATGTGTGTATGGGCATAGAGAAAAATCCGGAAGAGCCTCCCCAGAATGTTAATAAGAACTACCTCTAGAACCTCTAGGTAGTAGAATTAGAGGTTATTATTATTATTTTTTGTATTCCCATTGCTTTTCAATGAATATTCTTTTTGTAAATGGAAAAATTATAAACACATTTTTAAAAAAGAAATGCTTTTCTATGCTTCTCAGCTTGGGATTAGGTAAAGGCAATAGTAGGTATAATCCTTAGATAGGCTTCAACCTGAAGAGAAATAATCAGTTCTTGCAAGGGCACCTGCTCCTCTGGCTTAGTATATTCTGTAGCCTTTTGTGTATCTTTCTTGCCAGAACAGTTTCGTTTGTGCTCCTTTTTTCTTTTTACTTGTGTGTCATACAGTCATTAAGCTCTTTAAAATATTTTTTAAGGCAACATAAAGCAGTGTTTAATAAATGCTGCTTAGCTCTGATATGGTGGGGCCACTATTTCAAGGCCAGGTGCAGGTAAGGAGCTCTGAAGCAGTAATAGGTGGTCCTTCAAGGGAAAGGGAGGTGGCGAAGGGGAATGTCACACGACCACAGCCAAATAAAGCAGGTCCTGAAGAGGGTAAGTGAGGAGGATGCGGGGATTTGTAAAAGTCCTGAAGAAAGAGAAAGGACACCAAAAAAATTTTATTCAAAGTCATTAAACTAAATCAAGAAATGGAATTATTTGTACAGACATACGTGTGTTTTTACCAGAATAGATGTTCTACTCAGGGCTAGGGTGCTGGGGGAAATTTACAGTAATTACTAGAAAACAATATAATTATCTGCCTTTGCAAACCAACTTAATAAAAACCAAACACAAATCTATATTTCATTAATTAATAAATGTTTTCCATATCACATTATAATATGATAATTACTAGCATTTCCTTAGTACTTACCATAAATTAGTCACAGTGCTGTGATCATTATCACAGTGTCTTAAATAATTAATGTTGTGATCTCCTCAAATTGCGGCTCCAGTTCATAATCTTCTTTTCAGTGTTGCCCCTCCCTGCTGCACCCCCCCACCACCCGACCCGCTATCAAAAGATAAAAGATTAGAATTTTTTTCAAAATAGTGAGTTTGTTCCACATTTCAGCCACATATATAGAATAAAAAATGGCATAGAGCATAAATTTTTTTCATTCTATTTGTTACAAGAAAGCATAAATTCTAAATTTAATCAGCTGGAAAAAATTAAAGTGTAATGTTGCTAGGTCTCAGAGTGGTTGAATAATGGCTGATCTGGGTGTCTGGAAAAAAGGTCAATGATCCAGGAAAACATAGGTTCAACCCTAACTTAAGTCTGACCTCCTTGGGGAGAAAGGGGGTTGCCTAGATTCAGTTTCATCATTACGATTACTGTCCCCTTGTCTGTTTAAAGTAGAAAAAAAACAGAATTAATTTTGATTAAGAATTCAGTCTCTTTGAAATTAAAACAACATCCACTTCAGGGGCAATGAGACACTTAGTAAAATCAGCATTGCTTAGACCGTTACTGATTCGCATGGTGGTAAAGTTTGGGCCACATGGAATGATGCTGAAGAGGAAGTGATGGGACCAGAAGTGATACCAAACCATGCAAGATCCTTCTCCACACAGATTGTCCATATTTATATTGTTTTTACATAGTTATATGTTAGAAATAACTATTTTACCAAATGCATTCAGGCTAACCTCTGTCAAGAGATTCTTAACGGGGAAAAGATAGTTTGGCTACTTTACTCAGGACATATGTCCTCTATAGGATTTTGAAATTTTTATGAATTGTGATAGTGATTGTGCTACAATTAATACCCAGCACTGTGACTCAACAAAAAGACAGAAAATATTTTTTTTCTTTTTTTTTTCAATAGCTTGATAATGAAGTTGAAAAGACGGCAAATCTTTGTATTAATAACTGGAATCAACAAATGAAGGCAAGTAATACAAATATCTTTTGTGTAAACTCAGTTTTTAGAATTGAATCTTTTTTGCTTTTGCACAAATGGGATAGGGTGTTTTAGTGTTAGTATTTCTAAGTTCTAACTGAAGGAAAATGCTTCCTTACCTGAGTTATCTTTCAACTCAAACAATAGGAGAGCAGGGCTCTAAATATGGTTATTTATACCCAACACTTACATTGAATTTATTGTGCGTCAAGTTCTGTATATTATATATTTAATCATCACAACCACCGGTGTGGTTTGTGACCTTGCATTGTCCCATGTTAAAGATAGGTGGGGAAACTAAGACACAGAGAGTGAATAATCTGCCTAAGGTTACAAAGCTGGTTAATGGCTGAACCAAGTCTTACAAGTCTGGGCTCCAGGGTTACTAGTTTAACCATTACACTACACTGACAGCCTCTCTGTGCAATTTGTAACTTAGAGCAAGTGACAAATACTGAGTTTTGGTTTTATCATTTATAGAAGAGCATTTGTGATCTCTATCTCACTAGTGGAGGAGCAAAGTGAGGGGTGGGTAGCGATATGTAAAGGGAAATGCATATATTGATTCCACAAGTATGTACAGTTCACTCCTTGTGCACCACACTGCATGTACTAAGACATGGTTCTTGTTTCCAAGTAATTTTAAATGTAGTTGATAGATAACATATGTGCAGGAAATAGTAAATTCTAAGGAGAGGAATTATGATCTGGTGTGAGAATTTAGAGCATATCATTATAGGTTCTTAAGTGGAGAGAATAACAGATGGAACCAATATATATGTACAGAAGATTATTCTAGAATAATCCAGTTGAGGAGGGATTCATTCTGAGTCGAATGGACTAGAGAAGGAATCTGCCAAGAAAACTCAAGGTTCCTCTTTGAAAGGAGTTGTACTCCAAAAGTTGAAATTCTCTTTTTTTCATCTCCAAAGTGTCAGTCCCTGAAGAGAACTTCCCCAGGTAGCTAGCCACTAGTGCCAAATAACCAGATATGCCCTTGGAAACAGGCAGCCCCATCTCAGTCAGCCCTCAATGTTGCCGCTGAAGCTTACGCTGAAACCAAAGAGTCCATGAGACTAAAGACATTAATAATAAATATTTGAGATAAATGACTTTCTATACCCCAAATAATAGTACTGATAAAAGTATGCTCAGGAGAATCACATTTATAATAGACGTTTAGAAGTCCCATACACAGTACCCAGTCATTTGTTTTTAGTTTTGCTCTTAATTTTACAAGCATTCTTAAACAGAATTTGTTTTTAAAAATCCATTCTCTAAATATTCAGTTTTCACAGGAAATTCAATATAATGGACCCAAAGAGAGAAACCATGCTTAGCAGCTGCAATTACTTTCAAAAACAAAAAGCATCTTTTATTATTTCCCAGTTTCTACCAATTGATTTTTCCAAATAAAATGATTTGATTTTTTATGAAGAGTGACACAGAAATTAGAGGATATAAATTTCTTGTGCTATAATTGTTTTCTCTCCAGTTACAATTCAAGGAGTTCAGCGCGTCAATAGGGAAGTACAGTCTGTTTTGGAGACACAGATGAAAAGCCTTAACGGAGCACAGCTCTTACCCCACACTCTCATTTATCTGTGGGCTTCTGACCAACTGCAGAAAAGGGTCTAGGAGCTTCTTGTTCTTGAATTTCCTTTTGTAGAGGCTTCATATATTTAGAGACATTCATAAGGCTTTTCCTCTGATTCCTAAGGAAAGAGAGACCTGAGCTTTTCTCTTCCTTTATCTGGTTTTACGTTTCTTGCAACCTTGAGGTGAAAAACCCAACAGCCTTTCAATCAGCCCAGTTTGAAATAGTCTGAATCCAACTCAAACCGAATTCTGTTTATTTTATCTCCAAAGCATCGTCTCCTGCCAACTTGGAATTTTGTAGGAAATGATTGCCTGAATCACAACTCACTCCGAGCTTTGATGAATCAACAGAGTAGGGGGGCTTTAAATGTTCCTTCATTCCCAACTCCCCCCACCCCACCCCCTTTCCACAAATGCAAGGCATGCCACCAGATGCCAGGCAAATGCCCAGACCTCAACCCTGGGCGTCAGGGATCATAGTTCCCCTTTGCTGTGAGTTTTAAGAGAGCTTCTTAAAACCACCTCAACTGTGCCCAAGGTTGATTTAAGATAATGACGCAGGCAGTCTTCCATGTTTGTCGCGATATTTTCCTTTTTGTGGTAAAGCCATTCCTTTCCATTATGTTAGCTAGAATAATATTTTGGAAACTTCAGTGATTTAGCAAAATGTACAACCCTCTTGAGTGTACCCAATATAATGAAAAAAATACACAGTCATTCTCAGGGCAAAATGTTAGCTGCTGTGAAAGGCAGATTTGGAAGTGAGGGCAGAAATGATGAACTGAAAATACACAATCGTTCAGGCTAGGACATGAACATTAACTTGTTCCAGAGCAGAGGGATTTTTCTCTTGATATTAGTTTCTGTTCTCTTTTGCTTTTTTTGTATGTGTTTTGACTCTAGGCCAAAAAGAAATTAATGGTGAGTACCAAGAAGCATGAAGCACTTTTCCATCTTGTAGAAAGCACCAAGCAAACCATGACTGAGAGGGAGAAGCAGAAGGTAACCTGTCATGGCCGGCTGGGTGCATGTGGCTTGGAGACAGATGGGCTCCCTGCCCTTTGCTATGAGCATGAGAACTGGCTGATTACCGTCTTGTGTGGGGTCTCTGCAGAGCCATAGTGCAGCAGAGCAGGAGAAGGGCTTCTAAACTATTCCTGGTCCACATATATTTTTAAAAGGTATTTATTGACAGGTGACAAATTCATGAGACTAGTGGTGTCCACATTTTTTGATAGGGGACCCTATTAAACATCTCTCAGCTCACACCCCAAATAAGTTTTATATATATATATATATATATAGTATATGTGTGTAAAATATATGTCATCTATATACATATATGTATATATATACACATATATCTATTATATAGTATGTAGTACTTTATACATTATATCAATATGTTACGAACATTATAAAACACAAAAAAGTAGAAATGTTTGAAGGATGAGATAAAGGTGAAATAATATTTTAAATGATTACCTAAACACCATAATCATTTACATAATCATTAAGTGACAAGTCCAGGCAAAATACATACTTGGGGCAAGGCTCAGCCTTAACTGTAGTAAATATAAACTCGTATTTCTAATAGTCTTCTCAATAATTTTACATTTTTTGGTCACCATCTCGTCAGATCTCACTAGACCATCCCAGTTTTTACCTTTTCACCTGGATGATGCCATACTCAGAACTGAAGCAGGAGAAGGCTTCAGCTCTGACGTTTTCTTGTGGTTTCCTTATGTTTACATTGTTAGTCCTAACGTCAAACTACAGCTTCTTGGCAGAAATCTTTTTAAGAGATTTGTGCATTTTGTGCATATTAACCTAGTTAAAGCTACATAATAAATATGTAAATCCTCATGACCCAGACATATGCCAATGGCCACAGGTCCCCGGATGTTGAGAGTGAAGAACATGTGAGGGCTTATGTGAGCGTCTCATGTTGTAAAGTTCCTACTCATCCTCCAGGACACTTCAGAATCCACAACTGTCCATGCGTGGGCACCAATGCCAATTCATATATTAAATAAGAGTAAGCTTTAGGCAAAAATGAACCCAAGTAATATTCAAGTGCAAGCAGATCAAATTTTTTTCTGCCTAAACCCCAGTAAACTCTTGCAGCACACCTCTGGCCGGATGTACCACAGATTGGAAATCTTTGAAATCATTACTATCTTCTTCAAAAGATGGAATCCTTTTAAGGATATGCAGGCAGCACCACTACAACCCAAAATAGCCTTAAAGAAAAAAAATTGTTATTGCAAGTGATGCTACCATTTCATCTGAAGAAACTATTAGTTGAATAACGTAAATGCATTATTAGCAAGATTTTACAAGGCTATTATTTCTTCACATGTCAATCTTCACAGATTGAAGTGATCATAACAAGTATTCAATAATGAGACAGCTTCCGAGGAGGTGAAACCACAGTGTGTTAGAATGCTAAGCACCAGGACCTGTTCTAGGCATACGAAGCCCACATTAGAAGCTATTCTTTACGGATGGCAAGCAATAATGAAATAAAAAGCATGGGCAGCTAAGTGGTGAATTTCCTCTTCCTTCCCTCATTAGCAGCTTCCCTGGGAGGCTGAAGAGCCCACAGCCCTTCCCCACAGCCCTCCTCCAGCTGATCTTATAACCACAGCCCTTGGCTGTCATTACATCACACACCCCTACCATCTTCATTGCTTTATCTGCTAGCATTTTCTTTTTCTTTTTTTTTCTGTCCTAAAGCTAAACACCTACAGCAGCATTCATTTTCACATCTGACATAGAAGTGCCCATGATCTCCAGCCTGAACTGAGCTGCTTCTATGCTGCTCATCAAATCCTCCTGTTTTCCTGCTCAGCAGTCCTTGTTCTCACCAGAAGCTGATCTAAATCGCCATTCTCCTCACACCGCCATCCTCACCACCCACTCTCTGTAGATAATCTTGCCTCCTATCTCACAGAGGAAATAGAAGTCAGCACAGCCACCTGCCTATTAAAGCCATATGTGCAATGGAACAGGCCAGTTCTTCATTATGTGCTCCATTTCCCATCCCATCCTGCCTCTCACAGATTCTTCTCTTGACTATTTCTCTCTCCTGTGTCTTGGACATACCCGTCTCCAATGGTTCCTTTCCATCAGACTTCTCAACTCCCCCCTGTCTTGGGAGAGTAGGGAGGGTCAGGGAGATACCTTTCCGTGGCCCGATTCCTGTTCCTCTCCAGATATTATCATCTCTCCTTATTTTTTACAATAAGATTTATTGAAAGAGTTGTCTGTGCTCTGTCTCTACCACCTCATCTTCTATTCATGCCTCAAACCACCCTGAGCAAGCTTTCCCTACCATTCTACTAAGAGTGCTTTTGACACTGAAAACAATGTCTTCCTTATTGGTAATGCCAATACCCATAAGAACTCTCCAGTTCTTAACCTTATTTAACTTGGAAGCATTAAACATCATTGACTTCCCCCTTCCAGAAACAGCCTCTTCTTTTAACTCCAGCAACATCTTACTCTTTCAGTTTTCATTTCTGGCAATTTTTTCTTAAAATCCTTAATGGACATCCCTTCTTCTGCCTGACCTTTATATATTGCTGTTCTTGATTATTTTTCTCCTGGGTCCTATTCTGTTTTATTCAGCATGGTATCGTCAGTGTCCAACACAGTACCTCAATATCAGGTGCTCTCTATGTAACTGGTAATCAGATATACTCTCAAGGCATCAAGTAGCATATTTACACTGACAATGCCCAAATTTATATCTCCAGCCCAAACCAGTCTCCAAACTGCTTTCTGGCATATCAAATTCAATATCCAAAATTGGAACCATCACTTCCATGTATCAAAAATATTCTTTATTCTTATGTTTTCTATATATTTGAATATCACCATCCACTCTAGCCTCCCAATTCTAACTCTTAAACCAAATACTGTTTGAATTTATCTCCTTGTATTTATCTCCACTGCCGTTATTCTCTCCCAGGCCACCAGCATCTCTGCTTAGATTACTAATTGACAAATTGGTCTCTTGATTTTCAGGGTTGCTTTTTCCTATCTATTGTCCATACACAAGCCAAGATGACATCTCTGAAACTCAAATATGAGCATATTATTCTTCTTCAAAAGCCTTTAAAGGCTTCCCAGTGACCTCAGAATTGGTACAAACTCCTTTATGTGGCTCTTAAGACCCTAACCTCCCTGACTTGACCCTTGCCTAGTTTTCAGCATCACCTTTTACTATTCTCTCTCTCAAACTGTGTGTTCCCACCTCACCAAAAAATTTTTTGGTATCATGCTACATGCACCAATTCCCATTTTTCATTTTAGGTTTATTCACACAGGGATAATTTCTGTGAGCATCCACTATGTGCCAGGTCTCAGCTTAAATGTCATTTTAATTCCAAGCCTAGTTTAGGTGCCTCTCTTGTGCCCACATGATACCTGAATGCTTATATTATCCTGGGATCTATCACATGGGATAGTAATGTCCTGTATGGGTCTCTCACTAGAAAAAGAGCCCATTTAGTTCCATTTTCTATTTCCAGAGCCTAGTACATGACACACTGTGGCACTCACTAAATGATGACTGAATGAGATGTTTGTTCCAAGAGAAAGAAAAGAGGAAAGGAAAAGTATGCAATGTTTGATAAATTTTAGTAGTAAAGTTTTCTGAGAGGTTCCTTAAATAAGAATATAAGAGCCTACATCCTTCTTTTGTTTTGATTTTGGATTATTTGTTGTAAATTTGCTGAGTAGAAACTTCTGGACGATAGTTATATAGTGTAGGCTAATGAATGTGAGTGATCATCTCAAAAGTAACTTTGTTCTCATTGTTGGGGGTCTGAGCATTCTCAATAAGAATTTAAGGACAATGATTTTGCAAAGTATAGCCATGGCACACTTTCTGCCCTTTCATTAAATTGTTATCAGATTAAAATTCACAAGATCATGTTTCTATAGATGAATGTAGTTATGTAGTTCATTCCACTTGATAGACAAAACCAATTGTGTCCTGTGTAAGTCATACATCAGAGCCGAGGGACAGTTGAATGGCTCGCATATCAATTGGAATAATACAGTGAGTAGTGTTAATATTCAGAATTTTGGATGAATGTGCTTCATTACTGAAACATTAGTCAAAATGTCCTTAAACATAAAGAGGGTCATTCTGAAAAGCCTTTGTCTCTGTCCTTGAAACTCTAAACTACTTAAGTCAGAGGGATCCTTGGTGATCCTTCTGCTGTGGTTTGAGGACCATTTGCATCAAAATCATCTGAAGAGGCAGTGAAAATTCAGATTTTTTGATCCCACTACAGAACTACCAAATCAGTATTGCTACTTATGGGACCCTGAAAATCTGCAGTTTTACAAACACCCCAGGTCGTTCCTAGGCATATTAAAGCTTGAGAATCATTCACTTAATACAAATTCTTCCTTTCTCAGAGAAGTGAAATTACTTGTCTGAGCATTTTGAGAATCAATTTCAGCTACTCTGGTCCAGAGAGTTTTGTATTACTTAGATTTTCCAGAAGATTTCACAATCAGAATGGCCAATTTTGGTGACTGGCAAGAGAAGGCTCTTTATGAATGCGCAGATCACTGAGGAGCAGGACGAAAAGGAAAGTATCTGTTAATCTGCCCATAACTTGCAGTGAACGTCACTCAGCCTTTTCACCAGTAATAGTAATCATAATTGAGGGCTAGCCCAGGTGTCGGGCGGTGTGTATCACGCCTTACGTGTATCACCTGCTTGAATCCTCAAAGCAACCCAGTGAAATAGGAACATTGCCATCCCCATCACAGAGATGAGAAAACTGGCTCATGAAGGTTAAGTAATTCACCTCCAGTCAGAACAAGGGCTCTCATCCTGAAGTTTGATTTTTAAAGTTACACTGCAGAGTTTATATAGTGAAAGTGAGGTCAGGTTGTTAAACAGGATGATAGCCAGGTCTAATCCTAGCTCTAAAAATTATATAATTGCACAAATCTCTACCTGTGCTGGGAAGAAATGCTGGGGCTTAAAGGATTTACCAAATAAGATTGCAGGAGTCATTAGTAGATTACAGCGTTGAATTGAAGGTTCCTGATCTCTGCTCGCTTCTCCTCACCTCCTCTTTGTCCTCCTCTATGTGATGAACATGGGCACATCACGCCCTGTTTAAAGACTTCTAATTCCTCATATAAAAATGTGAAGGGATCATACTGAAAGACTCTTAGGTTTCCTTTCAGCTCTGACATTCCTTTTTTCTGAGAAAGATCTTTGATTTTGTCATCTGTAGCTACTCTATGACTTTAGCTGGGAGATGAGAAACATATCATTGGGATGCGTGTGATCCTTTATATGGAATTACAAAGGGCTTTCATAAATGTGTTAATGAATACGTGACACTGACATTTTACTTTAGCTCCTCAATAAACTGAAAAAATCAACTGAGAAGTTGGCAAAAGAAGATGAAAATTACTACCAAAAAAACATAGCTGGCTGTTCTACCAGACTGAAATGGGAAAACACACTAGAAAACTGCTACCAGGTAATCGTGCATTCATGTTTGTTTGTTTTTTCCTTCTTCCATTGAGCCTTGTGTGGCCTTGAAAATGGAGATCACATCTACAGTTATGTGACCTGATGATCTCTGCCCTTAGCTATAACCCTCACTCCTATTGTGACTTTAGACAAACCACGTTCCTTCTCATTGTTTTACTTTTTTTCATGGATACAATAACCAGTGAATATTTATTGTCATTGGCCAGAATTTCTGCTCCTAAATTCCCAATGATCACAATAGCACTCAGCTAATTTCAAAAAGCACTGTGAAAGTAAAGTGTAAATTAAGACAAGTATTAAATACTCAGAAATGAGTTTTAGTTCTGAGAACTGATTCAGTTCGTATTCACTTATGGAATTCCTTTGTATGTCAGGCATTGTATTGGGCACTGGTGATATATAGCAATGAATAAAGTACCATCTAACTCTTGGGATGTGCACAGTTTAGCAGCAAAGAAGATATATTAAGAAAGAATTGTGGCAAATCATCCAGTGAAAATCAAAAGATATGAACAACCAAATCACATAGGGAAAATCAAATCACCAATAAACATCTGAAAAGATGCTCACTTATTTGGCAAAAATTTAAAAGTGACGATATTAAGTGTTGTTTGGAAACAAAAATTCTTGAACCCCTCTAGAGAATAATTTGATGATATCTAATAAAACTGAAATGTATATATCCCCACAGCACAGCAGTTGCCCTTTTAGGCATATATCTCAAAGAAAATTTTATACCTGTATACCAAGCATAATGTATAAAAATGTTTATTTCAGAATTGTTTATAATTACATGGCAAGAAAAATTGTGTACAATATTCATACCTGTCAGTAGAGGAATTACTCTTAAAATGTGCTCAGATTTAGAAAGTGAATGCCTGTCATCTTTGCCTCATTTAACAATAGTGATCCCCTTACTTTGTATTGTCCTGTATCATGTATACTCAGTCTATACTAACAAGTCATTGACTCATGTATTACATTTATGTTCTATATCTTCTGTTGTTTACAAACTCAGGAATAAAT